ATCGGGGGTGAGTAAAACGCAGCCTAATTTTCATTTTTGGGTGAAGTAAACCTTTAACACTGCAGACGAGTTCACATTGAAAATCTGTTTTGAAACAGATCAGTTTGCATGAAAAAATCCACGATGGTACAGAACCCGAGCATGTAGGAGGCTCAGTTACACTGGAACTGTGGCAATTCGTACTCATATCTGCACTTGTTCAGGAAGTAAAGTAGGGACCTATGAACATTCTGCTGTACAAAATTAATATGTTTCTGTCACAATTTCTTAAAGTTTTAACAGACTTTTATCTTGACGGGTTGCCATGAAGAGTTTTATTTGTGTGTATATAATATGACAACAGTTTTTCTAAAATGAAATGGTCAAATGCTCATAAAGTGACTCTCGGAGCAGCTCTGTTCATGTACAGTATTCACATCCTCATTTAGTGAGACGGCTGAAGCAGAAAACATTGTGAGTGTCGTGCTTTTTAGTATGTGTAGTAAACGAAACTTCACATCTGCGCCATTCATTCAAACAGAAACATGCAGAACGTGCAGGATTCATTTTTAAATAGTCTTTTTGTGGCTTAATATTCACAGACTTTAGTCCATATCACAATATGATTTAAATATACTGACCTACTTTCAATTTATTTGTCAAAAATTTGGCAAATTCCGTGACATTCCGCGTTATATTCGATTTTTTTAATTACAATTTTTTAATTCAATTTTTATAACTGGATTCTGTGATTCCATCTGTGTTTTCCTCATCCGAGGAAATCATTGGGCTTTATTAAAGTAACCTGCACGTGCATTTTAGCCATTAGTTCAACAAAACACATGTAGGGGATGGAAGTGGTGATGATTTACCTTGAATAAGAGCGAGAGCGATGATTTACCTATACGCAAATGTACCTATAAATGTTTTAAATGCAAATGGTGGTCACACCAAATGTTGATTTGATTTAGTTAATCCGATAAAAAAATATTTGAATCTATTGAAAGCCCTTTATAAAATATATAATATAAAATTATTAAACATAAAAATATATGTTAAAATTGCAAATTTAGTGATCAGTGATTTTCACATTTAATACTTAAGTACATTACTTTTGTACTTTCACTCGAGTGAAAAGGGCTACTTAATACCTTTACTGGAGTTACATTTTGATGGTATCTGTACTTTTACTCAAGTATTTGATTTGTGTACTTCGTCCACCACTATATAAAACAAATATTTGAATAAACTGGAGCAACCATAAAAGTCAGTAAACTGGAACGACTGGTGCTTTCAAATCAAGCAAGTGTGAATTCTGTGGAGGACTAGAGAGAGCATGTGTAGATATCAGTCACAGAAATGTCCAGTAGTAAATATATAGTAAATATAGAGTTTCATAAACTCTGTCTGGAGTTTCTTTCCAACAATACAATAGCACAGGAATCCACTAGGGTTAATGCATAAATTCAACATGTAAGAGACCTTGCAACCAAACATATATACAGGATTATATATAAAATAATGTGAAAATCTGGGAAATAGGCATTTCTTTACTAAGGTGTTTTACCACCATTTGCCTTTAACACATCTTCCAAACTTCTTAGAATAGATTCATGCAAATTTTGAATAGTCTCCAGTTGAATGTTGTTTAAAAACATCTGCCAGTTGCTTCAGAGATGTTGGAGGAGGGTACAAAATGTCCAGGTTTTACGATCATGACTCCGTCTTTTCCACATTTTAACATTGGTGTCTGTGATTAAAGCTTTAGCAGTTGCAGCTCTTTCATGGATTTGTGAAGTTCTCTGTGGTCAGTTTTTTGAAACAGGACTACTGTAGAAAAGTGACAGCAAACCTCAATATTCACCTTACAGAGCCTGTGTTGTTTGGACACAATCCTTTGTAGTGTTTGATGGTTCCTATCATTCATTTTCACATTTCTCCCACTGGTCTTCTTGACTAATGAAGTCTTGCCATGTTTTATGTACACAGTCATGGTCAAAACCTGGGCTGTTGAGGTTACCGATGCTCTTGCTAAATGTGCTCCCATGATTGGTCTATTCTTTGGAAGTCTGACAACTCATCCAGCTAAAGAGTGTTACAACTTATATTACACTGATAAAGAGACTAGAGAATATAAACAATAAAAAATTATATTCATTTTTTTTTTTGGTTTTGTTTTTTTAACTGTTGCCTACAAAATTTTATTAATCCCTATAATAATGGATTCTTATTATTTTGTCCAACTCCTGTATATCCATCCATTCACATTCATGATAATAACAAATGCAGGGCTATACTGGAATTAATTACACTAAAATACCTTCAAATGAGACCAAAGAATCTACTTGTAGTAAAATGTTTTCTTTTCTGTCTCTGTTCTTTGTGTCATTAGAGAAAGGTCACGCTCAGATGTTCTCAGCTATGTGTCTGTGAAGAGTGACCAGTCAAAAGGTGACGGACCAAACTTAAGAGAGAAAAAAACATCAACTACAAAAAGGTATTTCACACATTCTATATTACACCGTTGCATTAGCTAATTTCTCAGCTGTTACATGTGAGAGTCTGACTGAAACCACAAATCACTGAAAACTATGTCTTGTCTTGTAAGCTGCTTTTTTTTTTTAAACCTCATGAGTCCCACCTTTTTAGCACTGGTTAGTTCTCGCCACAGTTCAGACACTTTGAATTCACAATTTCACTCTCAAGTGTCAGATGCACACTGCAATTCACTATTACACACAACAAAATGAACAAAAATATTATGCATGCTTTTGTAAGCTGACCTTATATTTCACAAATACACACACATCCTGTAGCAGCTAAAATTCAAAGTGCAAATAAATGCACAGCTGTTTGCATTTGTACTCTGTAATGCAAAAATATCTTGAATAACTTTGTTATACTTATTTGTGGTGTTCATGTTATGTCAATGAGCTGCAAAGACCTGTTACACTCATGATGTGGATGAATTGCATTTGTGTCAGAGACTCTTAATAAAGAGGGAAATTTACTCTTACAAGAGATCTCTTACTGTACGAGATCTTACAGATTCTCCTACAGTTAAAATAAATGGATGCTAACAGTCTTCTACCTTCATATGAGATTGAGATTAAAGAGGTCATGACATGGATTATTTCATTATTTTATTTAATGTTCCTTGAGGTTTACTTATAATGTTAATAAAGTTTGTTGCACAAAAAAACCAAATAAATATGTGGAAAAATGATTATTTTCAACCCTCATTCTGAACCTCTCTCAGAAACAGGCTGTTTTTAAGGGGCGGTCCTTTAAGGCTTCAGCCAGTAATCCACCACTCTTATGATTGGTTAACGTCATTGCATGGGAAACAGTATCAACACCCCCTCGCTATTGCATGCTTTGAGTGTTTTGACAGCATGATCAAAATAAAATGGACATTTCCAGACAAAGCATTATGAAATCATTTACTTGTGATGCAGCTGCAGTCAGATCTAGTACCACTTCATCTTTCAACAGATGTTTCTTTGTGAACTCACGATCCGGGATGCCATTAAAAATAAACTATCCACTTGTTCCTTATGCTGGGATCCTTCTGATATCTGTACAAAGCCGCGAACAAGCTGTTTAAACCAAATGCGTCAAAGTGAACGTTCTTTCGCTCCATTTGTCCAACAGATGACAAACTCATGCACGTGGACTGTGTCAGAAAGTGAACACGCGTCTGTATACTGTATCCAGTCCAGTGTAGACAAGATAGCAGCAGTTATTGTAGTTTCTATTTGTTTTTGACGCGACACGACACTCGCATTCAGCGTGATCAAGTGTCAGCCGTTAACTGCTGAATGCCAGTGGGCTAGGCCTATGTCGATGTGTTGCTCAGGAGGCAGAGTTTATGCAAACGACTGGGCCCAGCTGACGTCACCTTGTCCCATAGGGTCCAAAACGAGCCATTTTCTGGGGGTTATTACATAAATCCTTTTTTATTGATGATTAGGACATTTTAAGTTATGAAACTTGCAGTATGTATTTAGCATACAAAGTCCTCATCTGTATCAAAAGATCAAGGGAAATTTGGTTTATCATGTCATCACCCCTTTACATACCTTCAAATGTGACTGAAGAACCTCCTTCTAATAAAATGTCTCTCTCTCTCGCTCTCTCTCTCTCTCTCTCTCTCTCTCTCTCTGTGTGTGTCATTAGTGTAAGATCAGTCTCACAAGTGTTCAGCTCTGTGTCTCTGAAGAGTGACCAGTCAAAAGGTGATGGACCAAACTTCAGTGAGAAAACACCATCACCTACCAAAAGGTATTTCATGTGTTTTGCATTACAGTGTAACATTAGCTAAATTCTCCATTGTGCTGTGTGTGACACAACTGTAATGTAAATATGTTTGACTTTGATGTGCATTGATTAAATCATGATGCTTTTGTCCATCACTGTCTGTATTAGGTACTTTAGATGCAAAATTGTACCACAGGAATGGACTAATATACAATATGAATAGTAGATAGATTAAACATGAAGAAGACTTTTTCCATATTTTTTTTCTCATTAATTTTCATTAATGTTGTATACAAACTTTCTCCTACTTTTTCCCATGGTCAAATAGTCACATGGCTCTCCGACAATTTTATGTGTATCTATGTAGACTACACTATGTATAGTATATGTGCAAAAAAGGGTTAAATGTAATGTTTACAATCTTAAAGCAAAAATGTAAATAAATTAATCTAAAAGTGATAATAAATCAAAACAAAAGCACAAGTGTTAACTGGTTTAAGGAACATGCCCTCATCTGAACATAGTAATTATATTCTTCTGCAGCAGCTCACTTTGTGTCCTCCTGTATGTAATGTGTTTTGTCCATTGAAATGCATTATTCACTACTGTAAATTTACATGACTGGTGGATGTTTTCTGTCGACACAATTAATAGATTATTTTCATTATTGATTACATTATTGATAGTGTTTTTTTCTCTCTCTGTTCTCTGTGTCATTAGTGTAATATCAGGCTCACATGTGTTCAGCTCTGTGTCTGTGAAGAGTGACCGTTCAAAAGGTGAACCACCGAAATTCAGTGAGAAAACACCATCATCTAACAGAAGGTATTTCTTACCTTAAAAAAGTTTTTACTGATATTTTGGTATCATGATACTACTACTAGGTAATAGTTTAAAGTTCCTGAGAATAGAAGAAATGCTGGTGACTCTCTTGTTATTGTAAAACTTTATATATTTTCTGTTTAGTTAGATTCATCAAATGTGTGAAATTACCAACATGTTTATTTTCAAATCTATACGTCTCTAAAAGAAATTGGTAAATTTGAGCCACTGAACTAGAATGACCATTAACTTTTGCACTTTGTAAATTAACATTTCTGAGGAGGACTAGCGAAAGCATGTGCGGATATCAGTAACAGAGGAACCTCTTGTAGTAAAGTGTTTATTTCTTTCTGGTCTTTTTCATCAGTGTAAGATCAGGCTCACATGTATCCAGCTTAGTGTCAATGAAGAGTGACCGTTCAAAAGGTGAACCACCAAAATTCAGTGAAAAAACAGCAACTGTGAAAAGGTATTTATCATGTGTTTCTTGTTGCTGGTCACATGTATGCTGTCACTATCATGAAACTTAATTTCCAGTGAACACTTTTTCTGAACTGATTAATGCTGGGTTGAAGTAGCCTGCAGGTTTGATGATTGTTTGCCCAAATGATAAACACAGCTGTGAGCCTGATAGTTTCCATATGATTTGTTGTTTTGTGTGATTTAGTAACAAAGGACAGACGACCACAGTAAATATAGGTGCAGAATTTACACGATGGGAAGCTCTAAAAGATCAGAAGGGACTGAAGAGTGACGTGGAACTGGCAGCATTTCTTCTCAACAGGTGAGAACACAAACACATCTTTTAGATACCAGAATTCTTCTTTTAGTTTAATTTACAACATAAAAAATCAACTATACCAAAGTGCATAATAAATTTTTGCCAGAGGCTGACTAAATCTCTAAATGTTACTAGGGCTGTGCAATTAATCGAAATACAGTTTTGATTTCGATTTTGGCCTCCAACGATTATGAAAATACAGTAACCGAGATAAAACGATTATTGCGCCCCATTCCACCCCCTTTCCAGTGGTGCGCTTTCGCTCCTCCATAAAAGCCAAATTTCACGTGCAAATCTGTAAAATCATGTAACGTGACATTTGCAAAATGGGACGTGCTTGATTTATTAAAGTTGATTAGATTTATTCATGTTTTTAAAAGCACCAAAGAGAACTTGTGTTGTTCCTCAGGAGGATTTCTGTGCATGCACTCAGAGACGAAATAGAACACGGACATGTAAAGTAATCTTTTAGCTCAAGGTGCGCGCCTAAACGGTCAAATGCACGCAAAAATGTGTCAAAATGTGGCGCTTAGTGATTATTCGGTTATGTAATAAATGAACGTAAACAGCTGAGAATGAAAATATGTGTGTAACAGTAAATTGGATAAGTGTGGCTTATAAAGTGACAGTGGGCTATGCTCCTGTTGCCGACTGTGCTGAATATTAATCAAACAACAAAAGAAATACAAAATCACTCTCTGCTCTTGACTGAAGGACTTTTTAGGAAGTTTAATTCTTACAGTGAAGACTATGCTGTTTTATTTTACATTAGATTATTCAATTTCTGTAGTAGGCTGTTAACTGAATACTTTAGACTTGCATTAAAAAACAACTTAAAGCACAGTTTGCTTCATTTGTATCTTTTTTTTATTCTATGGTATGTGACCTTTGCTTTTTTATTACTGACAGTTTAATTATTTTCAATAATTTTGAGGACTTTTTTGTTTGTTTGTTTTTTTTACTAATATTAGTTACCCCAGTATTCTGCTGTGGTATTGAGAATTGTGACATTTCGCTAGTCTCTAAAATGTAGATGTCATAGTAAACTTATTTACAGAAAATGTATATTTGATATATCGCTAACTTTAAATAAATCATTCATATAAAGTTTTGGTCATATGGCCCACTCATAATCATGTTAAATAATCATGATTACAATATTGACCAAAATAATCGTGATTATGATTTTTGTCATAATCAAGCAGCCCTACATGTTACCTAGCTTTTGAAATGGTGTACACTGTACCTTTTAAAGCATATTTAGCACATAAGTGTTAAAATACTTTGCATCACATAAACCAAAAGGTTCAAGAGGAATACATGTGTTCTTTAGAAGACAACGTTTGTTTTGTAATGTGAGTTGTGTAATAAAATTGGCTTTGGCTATGACTGTCTTATATTAATGTGTGATGTGTTTAGTCAGGTTTTTTTTTTTTTTCAAACATTAAATGAAAGGATATTTGTGTGTGTTTTTATTAAATAAAATAAATGAAATAAAAACAATTGATTACACTGATGATTAGAATGATATTCTGTACATTTGAAGCTTCTTATCAGCATATCCTGGATTTGTTTGCAAAAAAAAATGTGTTTCTAACGGATTTCTCTAATATCGGAAATGTCCTATTTTATTTCATTTACTATGAACACTGACCAAATTAATTTTGCTAACAGGGTTCAGTATGAGAAATCAGACTTCCAGAATTACCGCTTTATCAAGAATTTCAGAGAAAATCTTCTCTGGATCTTCCAGGTAGGTGAAAATATGTTGAAAGTTTATATATATGACTTGTCTTAAAGAGACTTTGACTGCACCGCACCGCCCGGCAGTGTTCAGCGCGCAGGTTTCACTCTCCTCTAGCTGTCATCACTGCACGGTGTGATGCTCCGCTCAATATTCCGCTCTATGAATGTGCATTCTGCTCGTGCACCGCTCATTCATGATCGCCGGAAAAGCAAAGTCCGCTCAAATAACGCGCCGATAAGAAATTTCTATGTAGTATGTTCCTGTTTACAGTAGCGCTACTGTGCTGTAACATGCTGTAGTAGAGCTGTACTGGGCAACACTTGTAAAATGACGCTACCCTCTCATCCATTGATCTGCTCCCGCTGTGAACTGCTCACATGCTCTGATAATAATAGCTTTGTAGGACTATACATTATTTGGATAATTAGTTAAAAAAGTTATATCTGATTATGTTGCAGAAAACTAAATAAAAGTAATATATTGATATTTAATATTATTATATTTTCTGTCCAATTTTATTGTGTTATTTTCAGTAAAAGTGTGGTTATTTTATTGGCTTGTGTTTTTTAAATTCAGTATCATTCAAATTATTAAGTAAAATTAAAAATCTTACAAAATTACTTTATATTATTTAATAAAATAGTAAATAATTATTACAAAGCATTTTCAGTTTTGGTTTTCGGCCAAGTGCATCTAGAATTTTTGGTTTTGGCCCAGAATGTTAATTTCGGTGGATCCCTAATATATATATATATATATATGTATACTGTATATATTTAAGAAAAATATGTTATGTTTATATATTA